AACCCTATTACGTAGACTATAACTGTGCATGTCGGACAAGTAAATGTTCGATTCAATTTACTTATTTAGAATCGATATGACAAAGGAATTAAAAAAAAAAAAGCGGTGTCAAGTATTAAAACGAATCGGTAGTGAAATTCTTGTCTATTTTTACCCTCAGAGGCGAGGATTTAATAAATGACGTCACATGATGGCGGATCGCATTCCACGCGTTTCTTATTTAACTGCCTGATTGTGCCTGATGTTGTTTATTGTCACCAATATTGAGCTGGGAAAGGCTCGGGGAGACTGGTTTTTTTTTAATTTCACTAAAATTGTTTGACAGGGGCTGACTGAGAAGACAGTTGGATTTTATTATCAGTTGAAATTTTCGAATAAAAATTTCATGTTTAGGCACTATGTTTTTTTCCTTTTATAGTGTGTATGAGCTTAAAAATAAAAGCCGAAATCGTTTTTTTATTGATCCGCCATCGCGATTTTCATAAAAGAAAAACGTTCTTTGCCCATGTTATAGTATAAAGTTGAATCAGTTGAAAATCTATGAAAGTTATTCCTAACGCGTACAGCCTTAAAGTCAGGAAGTGTCTTGCTCCCGTCTAAGAGCGTCCATTTGAATATCTAAGCCACGTCGGGTACAGTCCGGTCGGATATTACATTTGCTAACCCATTTGTACCCGTCGCTGGTCGTAGGACGATCATTATCCGTGTCCAGGGTGTCCCCTGGGACCGCCCTCAGGAATGTCCCTCGGCCTCCTATTGATTCCATTCACATCTCTTTAAAATTGGGCCGATAATAGATGTTATTGGCGTTAGTAAGGGGTTCGCGCGTTCTGTTCGCACGTTTCGGATTACAAATTCGAAATTCGGAGCGAATTTTAAAATGAAAGGTTTGTAGAAAAGTTTTGTTGTTAACGTGCTTTAGGTTTTGGCGATCAGTGTAATCTAATGAATAAAATTGGAAGCGTTGGCTTGTTACGAAGTGAATGAATTTGATTGATTCGTGATTAATTTGTGTAAATTTGATTCAGACAATGAAATGAAATTAGTGTTGGCCCGGCCCAAATGTTTTCTGTGTAACAATTTTTTTGTGTCTTGACGGAATTTTAACAGAAACTTAAAAATTATAAATAACCATTGGGCTTAAAATCGATTAACAAATGAGTTCTTTTGAGAACAGCAGTAAATTTACGCAATGACCGTAACAAAAAACAAATTCGCGCCAAATTTTAAATCGTTTTCGAATCCGTCGGAGCGAGAAGTTTTTATTAAAAATATCGGCCGAATATTAACGGCGAGCATTGAAACAGAAACGACTGGTGTAATGTATCTTTACCCTTCCAGTTCCTTTGTGGAAGGGTGGACGTAACGAGCATTACCCACTTGTAGGGAATGGGGTGCCCCACGCACATGTTTTATTATTTACGAGCATAGGGCCTTTATGCATGTTTTTACGCTAAGATTTTATTGCTGTCCTATTCATGAGCAAGATCCGCTACGGAATCTCGGCTCGACGATTCCGATTTTTATGTTTTGTTACTTTATAATGTGAGGATTTAATTCCTTTATTGTGTAAATCTACGCTACATACTCTTAATAATTAATAATCAACCTTGCGAAATTTCAATCCCAAATCCATTTCTTTTCGGGGTTACATTTTATACAATATGTATTTGAAGTTTCACACTTCTCATTTTGATGAAAATGCAATATACAAACCATCTTAAAAGTTGACATCAACATAAAAGACGTCAACTGGCAAAATTTTAAGTTCGTAGCTCAGTGACTTAGGCTCTACGTTGATGCAACAGACCGAGAGGCAATATTTAACAATAAATTGTATGTATAGTTGACGTTTATTTATGCTACATACATTTTGCTCTAGTGTGTTTCAAGAAACAATATTATAAGTTTTGTATTGGGACAAAATTGCATTTTTTCAATTAACTTTTACAATTTGCGAGTGTCGCATAAGCTTTCATAGACGGTCAATTGACACTGCAACTAGTGTTAGTCGGGTGTTGCTAAGGGTATCTATTAAACTGATCTATTTGTATAAATTTCACGAAGCTACTAACTCCAATCGCAATTATTCTAAGGTAATATTTATTCTGAGCTATTACGAAATCTGTTTGCACGTGAATATTTACAAGCCTTTTTATGAGTGGAATCAAAGCAAACAGCGAGAGGCAGTAAAAGACATGTTGTCGGGAGTCCCCTAGTTGGGATTAAGTTTAACATCCCAATCGACATATCGCGTTTCGTGAACCTATAACGGCCTATTTGTACGCCTTAGGGAGCACGGGGCTCGGAGCATGGGAACAAAACGAGGAAAATTTTCGAAACATATTGTTTTGAGAAGAAATTTTTTGTCGCAATTTATTTTTCCACAAAATATAGTGAAGACAAAAAAATTGCATCGGTAAACATAAAACTTCGTACGTGTAAATGTTAATTTTTTTTTTTTTTGTTAAGTACTCATATTTGAAAAAATTTATATTCGTAAATTATTTTCGAGCGAGCAATGTATATTACATTTCAATATTAGCCTAAAATAAAATACCTTTCACAGTATTTTCTCTGCAAATTGTATAGTTTTTCAACAACAAAACAAAAAAAATTACATGTGTGCAATTCACACGTGGTAGAAGTGAAACCTTCCAAAATTAAAATACAATTATCCTAAACGTCTTAAGTATATGTAAAATTTTGTCATTAGTAAATAATTGTAAGGTAGCGCCCTCTGTGAATTGATATTTTAATTTCACGTATAATCCTAAATTAAAATTCACTACAAGAGCTTTCATACACACGTTAGTATTAAAAAATCTCACAGATGGCGCTGTATTAAATAGTATGTATATTTCTGTCTCATTCTTTGCTGGCTTCATCCTACACATTTTTGTATTTGTGTCTCTTACCTGTCGTTTTTTCCGTTGCATCCGGTTTGAAATCACAACGATTCTAAAGAAGTTTTCACTTCAAAAATGCATCGGTGAACATAAAAACTTTGTACGTGTAAATTTTAATTTTGTTTTTTTTTTGTTAAGTATGCATATTTAAAAAGTTAAATGCGTAAATTATTGTCGAGCGAGCAATGTATATCACATTTCAATATGAGCCTAAAATTAAATACCTTTCACAGTATTTTCTCTGCATATAGTCTAGTTTTTCAACAACACACATGGTGAAATGAATTGTGTATTGAAGATAAATAAATTGTATTGAAGATCAAAAGGGGTAAGATCAAAAGCAGTGAGATGACAATCGCGATGTGCAAACCAACCGTGCTTAGCGACACGGCGGCTAGGGTTCATATTCAATAACTATACATTAGGCTGTCGGCTTGTATCGAAAAAGTAAACAGGGAATTTTTCTTTGGGAAACTCGCACCAATCGAATTTCAATTGATGTAATGTTAATGTTTTACGGAATTCATTAATATCGTTGCAAAAATAATCCTGGAACAACCTAATATTTTCCCTAAGAAAATGTAAAATCAAAACCGAAGTTATGAAAAAAGTAAAGATAAATCATGGAGGGTAACGGAGCTTACAATCGCCACTGTCAACTATATTTGAACTGGCTATAGGAGTGGACGCCCAGGGAAGTGGAGAGTAAGCTGTTCCAAGCAGACCTGGTACTGTGGCTGATGAAGTGAAGACAGTAGGGCTAATCTTGCCCGAAGCAAAGCGCTTAGCCCTAGACCGATCGTGATATCGAAATACTGCTGGAGCTTTAAACTTATGGCTTTAAGATCTTAAACAAAAAAAAAACAATAGGAGCCCATAAACATCACTACGTGAGCGCCACGCCGTCGCCTGTCTTCGGTTATGAGTGTCAAGGTTCCTATTCATATTCGAAATTCCAATTTTAGAAACGTTAGAAATAATATAGTGAGAATAGTAAATGTAAGAACTGACCCTCAAAGTAGCGTTGATTGTGTTTACAACTCGCTTAAAACAAATAATAAATAAATAAAAATACAATGCAACTTAAGTTAACAAAAGTTCCAAATCTTAACGGATTAGTTAAGAACAATAATCAAATATGCCGTCGTAAGACTAGGGGCAAATTTATTTAGTCTGCACTAACTGTGAATCGTAGTGCTACTGCCGCCCCTTTTAGTACACGTATTGTGGGTACAGAAACCTTTTTGATGGCGCATATTTTATTCTGCCAATAAGTCGCGGACGACTTCAAAGAGTCTGTGTTCTCTTTTAAATGCTTTGAAATTCGGAAAAAAGTCTTTTTACCAACCGAATAAGACCGAAGTCGTGTTACGATTTTATTTTTTAATAGGTATTTCACACTTTAAGACAGTTAGACGGCAGCTCACCGCTCTTTGCCAAGCGATCACCGGAGATCATAGGTAGTCACAAAACAAATTCCGATGCTTACTTTGAGCCATATAATTGAAATCAATTGGTAAATAGGTATATATAGAGCGGTATCCAACCTTCCGAACTCGCAAACTTCCTTTTAGTACTTGTGATATTTTTGATTCATTAAGCAGGAGACAGGTAGAAAAACACGTGAAGATTTACGGTAGAATCTAGCATGAGCAGATATAGTTCACAGTTTCAAATTCGCAGGTATATATGTAGTAGGTCTGTTGTTAACATCCAATGATACTATGTACATATTTTCATTAAAATTATTTGTCTAGATTAATACGTAAAGAGTTATTATATAGCAAAACTATTTCTTGTCTTGACTTCTCAAAATATTGTACTTTAAATTTTGAAGGTCCCAACTCGTGTTCAATTTAATTACATTAAACATTATTTAAGATTTAAGCGTAAATATAATTTTTATGGGCTTTCTAACTAAACAACGCGATAACAGTTCAATGTTCTCATCAGGTTTGAGCCCCGTGAGCTCACCTACTAGTTAAGGCTACGCTGATATAGCCTCTCAAGACTCTCATCTTAGGTAAAAAAATAAATCAGTTTTAATGAATTGCAAAGTATATTTATTAACCGTTTTTTATTTATTTTCAGAACTCCATTATGATTCTTCGGAACGAAACAAAACCTCTGATAATCATCGAGTTCTCGATTCTAACTAACCACATATCGAAATCCCTAGTTATGTGACAGACAATGAGTATATAGACTAAGAACTCGTTATGAATGAATAGTGAGTAACAGTGAACTGATAAGATGCATTTGGCAAGTGAAGTGAGCTCGACAACCAATGGCTTGGGGCACGAGGCTCCGTCGTCAAGTTACAACGGCGGCTCGCTTCCGAGTCAACCATTAACTGCCGAACTGTTGGCAGAAAGGACGTTAGAAGGTTTATTGGCAGACCATCCAGGGGAGCTGGTGAAAACCGGTAGCCCTCACGTGGTAAGTTTCCGCGGTTGTAATGATGAGATCGTAGTATAGATAATTCTTAAGCATATTTTAGTTAAACTTAAAATAAATAATAGTTTAAAAAAACTAACAAAATACGCTTTTATAGAAAATACAATTAAAAAAATAGTGTATTTTGTTAGTTTATTATTTATTTTTCATTTTTTAGTTGAGTTTCAATTTTTAAAATTTTTGTTTTTGAGTTATTATTTTTAAATATTGAATTTTCATCAGTCCTTAATGAGTATACCAAATTTCGAGTTAATCCGACGTTTTGAAGGGGGTTAAAACCATGTTCAAAGATTCCATTACATACTAACATACATACGTCTGAAGCTAATAAAAGCGTATTAAAAAAGCGTTTTAATTATGCAAACTGAAATTATCTTTTTTACCTAGTGGTCTTGGTATATCCTAATATTAGTAGGTCCTTGGTGTGCAATTTTTTGAGCTAAAGTGTGTCGACATTTATGACGATAAATGCAAGCTGGGTAACAGACATATAATTCTCAAGGACGATTTTTTAATTGTTAGATAGAGGTTGTTACTCGTTTCATTACAATAATATTTAAAGTCAGGCTATTTACTAGATGAAAGAGAAACGTGTATCGGAGATACTAAGATATTTTCCTGATAACGCGATTAAAAATTATAAATCGAACACCGGCTGCACGCACGAAAAAGTGTCACGTTCCGCTTGAGCCTGAGCGTGCAAGCGAGAGCGCAGAATAAGCGATAGAGAGGCACGATCGGCCTAAACGTTAATTTAACAACAAAAAAAATGTTATTTTCAATCAACTCCTTCTTTGTATTATACGAAATAATGATAATTCAGTGATAATAATTCAATTCAATTCAATCATAAAAGTATGCAGTTTTTCATCAATGTTTTTTTATGACGTTATCTCGTAAAACTATCGCCCTTAAACCGATTTTACAGACAAACAATTTCTATTAGTACAAAATTACTTTGCCTGGAGTATCAATGTCGATTCTAAAATACAAGTTTCTGTAGAACATTTAGAGGAGCTTTTTAATTCCACTTGAGTTATTCAGGTTGAAGAATATTATTGACTATCGATACGAATAATTCCATGAAGTGGTTTGTTATTTTCTATACCCGCTTTCATCCTACATAATAATGTATATTTTCATTATATGTAGTTTCGTAAATTTTATTAAAATCATGAGAAGAATTGTGAAAATATTTTGATCGTAATACCTACGCTTCAATAGTCTATTAAAATGGAACACAGCTTTCCATTAATGGCTCGGTGGAGTAGTAGTTAGTAGACGGTCGTGGGTTCTATTTCCACATTTTCACACAGCAGCAGTGTGACGAACAAGCTTGTTTGCTCTTTGTCTGTTAATTAAGTTTCGGGTGTTAACATCCGTGTACACATGTATTTTTTAAACGTATTTAAATAAGTATATCAGTTTGTGACTCTCACAATTGTTCACAGATGCTCGTGTCCTCGGTAACAGCCTATTGTCGTTGTTTTTGTTATTCAATGTTGTGCGTTTTTATTTATTTTGCGTTTAATGAAGCATACTCTCTCTCTCTCTCTATGTCTTAAAGAAAAACATCAATAAAATAACGTATTGTTTTGTAAACAAAGAAACGACATACAATATTTTCGTGCTTTTTCCTGTATATTTGTTGTTGTTGTATATTGATGATTTATTCCGTGCATTAATTTAGGATTATGGTCACTCTATTTCTGTCTGTCTTAAATAACCACATAATACCAAACGAGCCGTGAGCTCTTTCATTAATATAAGCAATAACATTAATTATTCATTTTTTTACGTAATATTTCCTGTCCTAGGTATGCACAGTTCTGCCGCCGCATTGGCGATCGAACAAGACTCTACCTGTAGCGTTCAAAGTGGTCGCGCTTGGGGACGTTGGGGACGGCACTCTAGTAACAGTACGCGCTGGCAACGACGAAAATTGTTCGGCTGAACTGAGAAACTGTACTGCAGTAATGAAGAATCAGGTGGCCAAATTCAACGATCTGAGATTCGTTGGCCGAAGCGGAAGAGGTGAGTCACGTCGTGAAAAAGAAAAGAAATGACGTAACTTGTCCAACCTTTGTAATTGCTGGGCACATTTATTTTGTAACATTTTTATCAAAGTGAAACTTTAATTCGTCTTAATCGTGTCAAACTTTTTCATCTGTGTGTTGCATGTCGCGTGACGGTCGACCGCGGAGTAGGGATAAAGTGAAAGGCGCTCGTCAGAGCAGCCAAGGCCAATATAGCGGCGCCTATATAGGTAGTTCGCAGCAGCTGACCGTGTAGTGTATAGACTATTACTCATTTGTGCCAGTGCTCCACGCTATTTTGTTTTTGTTTTCAGTGTTGTCAGTGTTTGTCAATCTTATACCTTTAAACGAGCAATTCTTGTATATATATAATCTGAATCTCGGAAACGGCTCCAACGATTTTCATGAAAGTTAGTATACAGGGATTTCGGGGGCGATAAATCGATCTAGTTACGATTTATTTTTAGAAAATGTTGTTTTATTCGTGTTTTCAATTATCAACTCTTCCCGAAATCTATTGGTGAATAATAATACTATTTTTCTTAATTGACGGCAACTTACCGCTTTAAAGACACAACAAGATAGCGTTATAAAAAAAAAACATCTCATCATCTAGTTATATTATTTGTGTCTTTTTAACTCATGTGTTCACTTTAGGCATTTTTCTAAAGGATCTTAGAATATTTCATCATTTTATCAATAATAATATGTAATGCGTATATAAATATAATTTCTAAAAAACACAATTTATCAAAAAAAAAAACCGAGCAAAGCTCGGTCATCGTCTAGTGTTTATAATGTGAAAAACAGTTTCACTTTTACCGTGGTTTCATAAAACCACACAATCCTTTTTACATTTAAATCTACTTTTCATAAGTTTGCTTATGAATGGGAAATTCGTTTTTTGACCGACTGGATCGCGTTTGAATCTGCTTGTCAATACAGAAGACAAGCTCAACCATTATCGCGATACACAATAATTTTATTTACTAACTAGATTTGGTCCTTGATATATAGGAAGGGTTAAAATTTATAAGAACAGCGACGTTGCATTTTGCTGAGCTAAAAAGTTGTTTCTCACTTTAGCATTTTTTTTCAAAGTTACAAATAAACGATTGTCACCCTTAATCATTTCGTAAATGCGTATTACGATATACTTATTTATGTTTGTGTATATAAGAGATCTGCTTAAAGATTTACGGCATAGATTTCGTGCAGTAGGGTCTTAACAGATCAATTACCCCCATTGACTTAATATTCGTACAAAGAGAAGACCTGTTGAAATATTCAGTGACTGGGGCTTTGTTTTTGAGTGCTCGCCCAGGGGAGACGGAGATTTTTATGACTTATACGTCTGCGTTTTCGTGGATATGTTTATTTATGAAAAAAATATATACACTATCTCACGGGTAACAAATAGATTAAATTTTATATTAGTGTTCGTTTGTTTTGAAAGTATTTTTGTTCACTCCCAACTTTGTCTAATGGAGCCCCCTCAAAAGTAACCTAATATCATGATTTTGTTCCGGAATGTGAACGTTATTTAGTTTAAGCGAATCATGTGTCAATATGCGTGGGGACATTAGCACTATGATGTCTATGGATTCGGGTGACCATTTATGAAACAGGTAGGCCGTGAGTTCGTTCACCCTGTATATACAATTTTTTTACTAAAAAAATGAAAACCTGCTTTAACTAAATAAAATAATAATATTATCAAATGTAGGCTAAGTCAATGAAATATGCATAATTATTACATTCAAATACTACTGGTCAGATCTTAATAAAAATTATTTGGAACCACATGAGAAGCGTCAGTTTTTAAATAAGGATCAGAATCGGTTTTCCGCGAAAAAAAACTTCTGAAGTCAAACACACATCAAAACAAATACAGTAGAATTTAGAACCTTCTCTTTTTTCGAAATCGGTTAAAAATATTCCTAATTACAAAAATGCCACACTGATAATTATATTTATACTAAACTAGCGGCCCGCTCCGGCTCCGCTCGGGTCTTTAAAAAAATTTCAACGATATTTGAAGTTGTTTTTTTTTTAAATAAAATAACAATTATTGCGGTGTAACTATAATATAGTTAGACATATGCTGTCGCGACACTTTTTGTAAATAATAATGTGTTTTACAAAGTCGTAGTGCATTATTTTATTCTATCATGAATAGTTTTCGCACGGCACGCGATGTAAAGAATATTTTAGGTAATTTTTTTACAACTTAGGTTACATTATTGGAGTTTTAGTAAGGATCCCTAATTTTTTCAAAAAAGATTATAGCCTATGTCACTCGGGAATAGTGTAGCTTCCAAACAATGAAAGAATTTTTCAAATCGGTTCAGTAGTTTCGGAGCCTATTCAATACAAACAAACAAACGAATCTTTCCTCTTTATAATATTAACTAGCGACCCGCCCTCGCTTCGCTTCGGAAACATTAAAACACACATGAAACAAAAAAAAAAAAATTAAAAAAAAATTAAAAAAAGTAGCCTATGTTCATCAGGGACAATGTCGGCTTCTAATGGAAAAGGAATTTTTCAAATCGGCCCAGTAGTTTCGGAGCCTATTCGAAACAAACAAACAAACAAATCTTTCCTCTTTATAATATTAGTATAGATTATATTATATATATAGTATAGATATAGAAGATATATCTAATGTATATCTACTTCTTGGCTGTGTGGTGAACCGGTCAAGTGTCTCGTTCAGCGTCGTCTGATCGTCGCGACGTTACACTTGTGGTGATTCGGAACGCGATAGGCGATTAGTGGCCGATTAGACGACCTAACGATACACCCTGGGGATTACTTGGAAGACCCGACACTAGTCCATTAACCTTAGGTCTTGTGAGTCATTGCGAAGAAAGTCAAGAATACAGTTAAATCTTTTATGTTTTATTTTTTATTGCCCGTGTAGGCAGACGAGCATACGGCCCACCTGATGGTGAGTGGTTACCGTCGCCCATGGACTTCAGCAATGCCAGGGGCAGAGCCAAGCCGCTACCTACCCAAAATCGGTTGTAATTTAATAATACATTTTGCAATCACGTTTTACTCAAAGAGTGTTATGATTTTTTTTTTAATTGCTTAGGTGGGTGGACAAGCTCACAGCCCACCTGGTGTTAAGTAGTTACTGGAGCCCATCTACAACGTAAATGTGCCACCCACCTTGAGATCTAAGTTCTAAGGTCTCAAGTATAGTTACAACGGCTGCCCCACCCTTCAAACCGTAACGCATTACTGCTTCACGGTAGAAATAGGTAGGGAGGTGGTACCTACCCGCGCTGACTCACAAGAAGTCCTACCATCAGTTATGTTGCTTAGTGAACCAATTTAGGCTTACGCCAAAAAATAATAATTTGGGATTTAATCGGTATTTAAAAAAAAAAAAACATTTCGTTGTAGTTTAATTGGAAAACTAGCTACTTTCATTTGCCACAACTAAGTCGTGTGATTTAATAAACAAAAATAGACATCTCCGTTAACGTCCGTTTTTCATATCCATTGATCTAAATGAACACCAAAAAGGCCAAAGTTTAAGTTTAGGGTCGCAAACATCGGAAGAACATCGGCGAACTGTAAACTTTCTTCGCATCTCATATTCAAATAGTGCAGGGGAGCTAACGAAGCGAAGGGGAACGCGGGGCGTGTGGGTGTAATTCGCCAAATATCCGAAGACCTTCTAAAACTAAGCCAGTAAATATTGTTGGCATGTCAGTTCTATTTTGCTAAGATAATACTCGGTTGAACTTGTAAGAAAATATCAACATTATAAACTTGTGACGGGAGACACCCGCATCAACAAAGTGTGTCAGTCGAAAGTGTAGTTACGTTTAGTGTTTAGTTTGTTTTCGTCAACGGCTCTATATTAATTTTGTTTTTTGACGTGACAACGTCTTATAATTCGATGGAGCCGGCTGCACGCACGAAAAAAATATGACTCATGCGGCGTTACCTCGCTCTGAGGCGTTCCATTTAAGGCTTGAAGTGCAAGCGAGAGCGCGCAACAAGCGATAAAGAAGCACAATCGGCCTCCGCGTTCGACAGCGTTCGACATCTGTCCATCTATACAATCTTACATTTACATGTTTTCGTCAAGTATGAAGTTCAGTGAAAAGTGAATGTGGTGTCAATTGTTTATAGCAACGATAATTGCGATAATTGAAAAATGAAACCATTCCATCAGTATTTTCTTATGACGTTGTCACGTTCAACTATCGTCAGTAAACCGACTTTACAGACAACCGATTTTTTTTGTATCAATATGGCGAATACGACACTTTCTATTCTCTAACCTTAGTTCTGCCGAATAGCTTAGAGTGATTAGTTCGTAATACGCGTACCAGGAGTCTGATGATTTTGATTTTGATGCTCATAACTATTCATCGGAACTATCTCGCAAAGGCCGTTCGAGACCTTAACGCTTCCAGGTACGACGATTTCCCATCCTCTCGGGCTGCGTTTCATTCAGTCTCGACCAAGGAAAGTGTCATATCTATACATCTCAAAATTTCAGTTACCTATTTTTTTAAATATCAATCACCCAATGATTTTATCTTTGGAGCAAACGCATAGCGTAACTTGATTTTATTACATTTGATTTTAATGAATTAATGCCCTCACTGCGATATGTTCGTCGATAAACATGTAAAATAAATTAATCTATGAATAGTTGCGTGCTACATGGCAACGTGCAATGTACTGTGCACACTAGGTTAAACGAAGTTTAGGGACTTGGATGTGTTTCAATGTCCATGAGTGACAGGGACCACTGAAGACGAATGGCATGCTCATATACTAGCAATGGTTGTAAAAAAAATTATGATTAAGGTAGCCATTGTCTAATTTTAAGTTCATTGCCCTGTTGAATTAAAGGTGTGTTACATACTAATCTATCAAATTCGTCGACTTATATCGTCGTCGAAAATCGACCCAAAGATATTAGTATTCTATAGAGGTTGTTTTGTAAGACATTTGTTGCAATTTGAA